CTTCAGTTTTTAGAGGTTTTTTCCCCCAACATTCAACAACATGTTATTATTTCTCTCCTTGCTTTTCAGATTCCACCATGGTTGATGAACTCACAGTGCTAAAATATAATGGTAACTACATTGACATTGTTACAATAGAATAAGTTATAATTTATTTATTTATAGCAAAACTCTCTCCTGATTGGATGGATGGCACCCCAGTCTAGCTCTCAGCCAGTCACTGACCAGGGTAGGACTGGGAACTTTTGGCCTGGGGGGCAAATTCAGCATACTAGCCCTTTCATGGTAGGGATGGATTTCTGTGAACCAGGAGAGTATTATTATAATTATTATTGTTGTTATTATTAAGGATTTATATTGCCAACAATTTGTGCAGCGCTTTACAAAATGGGGGGAGACAGGACAGTTACAATACAACTTCAGTACAATAGGGTTAGGGGCCCTGCTCGTGAGAGTTTACAATCTAGAAGGAGGGGCAAGTGATACAAAAGGTAATAATTGTGTAGATTAAGTTAGTGGATGAAGTAAAAGAAAAGTTATGTTGAGGCAGGATAGGCTTCCCTGAAAAGATGAGATTTCAAGGATCGCCTGAGGGTGGACAAAGTAGGAGAAAGGGAACAGATTGGGGTAGGGAGTTCCAGAAGATAGGAGACACTCTGGAGAAGTCCTGGAGGAAGTGAGAGAGCTAGATAGCAGGAGGTCTTGAGAGGAGTGGAGGGGACGGTGTAGGTGATATTTGAGATGAGGTTGGTGTTGTAGCTGGGGGAAGAGTTGTAGATGGATTTGTATGTAGTTGTTCAGGGCCGGCCTTAGGCCTTTAGGCGCCCTGTGCGAGAAAGCTTTACAGCGCCCCTCAGTGACCACACCCCTCAGTGGCCACACCCTTTAGTGGCCACACCCCCAGTAACCACACCCATTTATTACCCATATTTTTGGTAAAATATAAAAAGTGGGGTCACGTCGGGTAAATAGACACCAAACATGTCATGCTTTAAAATTGCGCGCACCCGCAAAATCGCAAAAAATTACCATGCCCAATATTGACCATAGGTGACGCTTTAAAAGCTTTTACCGCTCATCAGTTTAGTGTTATCAGTGATTGATAGCCCTACAATTATTGCTCTCATTCCGACGTTCGCG